TTATTGTTTTTTATAGTGTGCTGCAAAAAAATTTATCCTGTCTTTGTCCAAAAAATAGATAAAAAATGGTCCATGAATTTCACTGAACTGATTCATGAGTTTCCTGTTCTTGGTTTGTTTTTGTTTTTCATCCAAGATGACTGCTTGATTCACTGAAAATTGTCTCATAAAAACTTGCCTTAACACCTGCTAATAGTTTTTTGGTTAGATAAATACAAAGCAAAAGGAAAGACTAAAATCAATTCTTACTCAGGATTTGGGACTTTAAAATTTACATGTTCATTTTAAAGATGTATCGATATCTTTGAATCTTTCTCTTTTCACAGCATATAAAATGGTATCAACGACAAGCCTTCATATGGTTTCCCTTTTAATAGCCTTGAAGATTATCTCCCTCTAATTCTGATTCAAGTATTCTTTTCTTCATATAGTTCATAAATATCATGGTTACTGACATAAGAGAGTTTTATAATCCTTAACTAGCTGCTTAAAATTTCCTGTTTGGCTTAACGTGGTTTTATTCAACTTCCACAAGTCCGAAACATGAAGTGGTCCTCTTGAAGGAGTAAAAGTATCAATAGGTGGTGTTAAAAATACTATGCTTTTTTACATGTCCTTTCTTTGAAGTTGTATTCTCCTAGAATTTGGAAATAAAATTACAAGAGAAAGGACTTTATTTATATTTTCAATTCTTAATGTTTGTTATGTAAAATAAGTACTTGTATAATCTGGACAGAAGCCAGCTTCCTAAAAGTAAAAAATTTCATGTTTTCATTCTTTAGAACTCTGGTTGTTATAAATGCCACCTTTGATCCTTATGTCTCGTGAGATTCTGACCATTAACACAGATAAAATTGCCTGCTTGTCTCCAAGATGATAAGGAATTTTGGAAAATGAAAAAGATGTAAGAAATGATTTGCAGAATTAAGAGACAGATTACTGGGTTTCTGAAAATATGAAATTATTTATACAAGAGAACACATTTGTAAATTGATACTCTTCTCTTAAATAGATGCTCTTCTCAGAAAATATCTTGTGAAATTTTGCATTGCTTGCTACAGTGGGTATTAGAACAAAATCTAAGACTAGTTCTGCTTCTTTCTGTTGGTTGACACTTGAAATCCTTGCAGATTCTCTTTATTTTTCAGTATTCCAACAGACATTTCTGTGAAAGTTGCAAGACTTATGATCTTCATGTGTGGACTGAATTTGTCACTGTTGTGATACATCTGAAAAGCATGATCATTCTAAAAATTGGTTGTCAGACTAGTAGATGCTCCTTTTTGTGTGACCATACCCAGAGGAAAATATTTGGAAATATTAGCTCTGGTAGAACTGCTTTTGAAAAAGGCTGATTTTTGAAAAGCAGAGTAGCAAGAGACATGACCATACTTACTTCTGACTTAGATCATTAATAAGGAAAATAGTATTACCTTGATGTTAGAGATCCATATTGATATGCTCTCAGTTTGTGCATAACTGATCTTATGCATCAAAAGTCACAAAATGTTAAAGATTAAATTAGCCAACTAGAGAAGTTTCTGATCCTCTGTTTCATAAACGAAGTAACAGAGCAAATCAAAATAAACTAGGTTGATTGCAAACCTATGTTCTTGTAAAGAGGTCCTTGTTAGCACCAATGTTTTGGTTTATTTCATCTCAACTATACTGTGACAAAGAATCATCCCATAAAGATGGCATCTTTTAATAACCATAATTGGAATATGGTTTGTTGTAATAATTTTCTTCTTTCAGTGGATTTATGTATGAAAAATCAAGTCCCTATCTTGCTATGCCCCCTTCTTTTGTGTTCATAGATCATAGGCAAGCTTGAGAAGGAGAGGCACTTTAAGGTTCAATGCCATTGAATGAGCAGTACTGTGGTATATTATATAGTGGTCCTTAGATTTAATTACAGCACATCTGTAAACATAGCATTCAGTGCTTTCTCTTCTGGATTCTTAGACACATGAGTAGGAGGCATGTATGTGAAGTCTTCCAAACTGGAAACCTCTTATCATAAATGCTATCTCTTATGTTATCTAAAATGTAATTAAAATACTGTAGTTTTCCTAGTGCTGTTCTAAGTTATAATCTACTTGAAGGAAAAGGCAGCTTTAGCCATAGCATCTTGCCAAGATTCCTACTCCTTCTTTGCTAATTCACACCCTTTTACCTAACTGGCTTTAAATAAATACTTCTACTGATTTCTTTTGTGAAAGTACAACCCTTCAAAATTAGAATGAAAAGTTTAATGGCCTAAATACAGTTCAATCCTATTTGAAAAACCTGATTTATCTTCCACGGTTTCTTTTTTTTTTTTTTTTTAATACTAGTATTTCCTTGTTATGCCCTTGGTATTTCATAGCTGTCCTTTTTAAGCACTGAAGCAATTAGTTTTGAGAAGGCTGATTCTTCAGGGTCCAGTGCTTTCCTGCCTTTCATTTGCCGAAGCTGTACATTTTAATGAAGTTGTTTCATCTGTGTTGCCAAACACTAGAATTTTGCTGCTTCAATTCTAATTATCTCTGCTGGCAAATGCTATGTTTTATTAAAGCTGTCAAGTGCACTGTTCATTAAATGTCCGCAGTCAGTGGTGCTGTGCACACAAATTAGATCAGCTTTGCTCCTTGATAGATTATGAAGTTAAATATTTTTATATAAACCTCTAGAATTGTGTCTAACAGCAATCAGTGATGACTTAGATAAGTAAAGCATACCTGCAGCTTCTTGGAACCTAAAACCATCTATGAAACATATGTTAAATCACTAGTACCACCATTTGTATGATTATTTAATTCATTAAGATACCATTTTCCTTCCTCAAGGTATCTACCTTGCATCTTGAATTCTTCTTTATATGTGTTTAGGGTAAAATAAGTGTTGTTATTTTTGCTTTGATAGAACATAAAGCATCAGTGCTAGTCTTTTGGTAGAGGGTTGTATAGTTTAATTGATGTCCATTAAAAGCAAAGATGACTTCATTTAAATGTTACTAACCTGGTGAATGCGAAAGATTACTATCATAAACAACTAACAGCTTATCTTCTAGTAGCAATATCTAATTGCAAAGGGGAATTTTACTACAAGATATTTACTTCAAATATATGAAGCAGTTACAGAAATCTTGTACTTGCAAAGAAAATGAGTCAGTTTCTCATTTTGACCCTTGTGGAATTTTTTTGCTTTTATTAATTTTATGTTCTCAGTATCATTATCTTCAGTAGCACAAATAGTCATTCTTGGTATTTAATGTAGATTAAATTCTAGAGAAATAGTAAGGTATTGTGACGATAGACTACCAGATAAACACGTTGTTGGTCTTTTGAAAAAATGTTTTTCTTACCCTCTAGCTATCTGTAGGGCATACATTGAAATTTATTTTTAGTACCATGGCTTTATGGTATTTGTTTTCTGTATTGATTACCTTATCTTTTGAAGAATCTTGTGTTTATGCTTTCGAACTTTGCTTTTGAATTTATAAGGCTATATTTCAAACCTTTAGAGGAACAGATATTTATTGTGCTCTTTATAGAATCATAAATAACATCTCAAGGTGCTATGTAAAGTAAATAGATTTTTAAGACCTCTTGTATATATATATATTTTAGGATTTGGTAGGAAACTATGGTTCTTCAAAAGACTTTGAGGCACTCTTCCTGGTCTCTTCTCCTTATGAAGCAGTTTAAAGTGTTCTAGTGTGAACAAAAAATTCACATAGCCTGAAGTTGAATAGGAGGATATGTATGTTTATGTATTTTATTATTTGTAAATGTATTATGCCCTGTCATATATATTTCATGGTATTTATAGGAAATAATCGCATTTAATTTTAGTTTTGTAGTGCAGAAACAGAAAGTGTTACTTTGAGTGTATTCAAGAGCTAAAGTGATTTTTGTCATCTGAAATGCTTGACTTCAGACAAGTAGTCTTTCATGATGTTCAACTTTGACTTTTTTTCAACTACCTGCTGTCAGACAGGAGATGGACTCAAATAGGTGGTTTATTCTGTGGCAATGAAGTAGTTGAGCTGCACCAATACTAGGAGATTTGCTGGGAATGGGAAGCATGAAAGTCACCTAGGAGCATGTGAAAAAATCTACAATACACAGAATATGACAATTTTTTCTTAGTGTTGTTATTTTCACTTTGGATGTATGTTTCTATTTGACCTTGAGTCTGAAAAATTGGACAAAATCTTTCCCGAATCTTTAGGGAGATTTGAGATGTATTCAGATTTTATATTTACATCTAGACTCAGATTTGTAAAATCTCGTCCTGTTTTGGCTTCTTGGAAGTTACCTGAGCTACATCATTTCTCTTGCGTGTATAAATAAATGCTTTGGTTGCAGCACCTTTTCCACCTTTTTCAGGTTGAGTGTGCAGGTGTAGTGAATATAACAGGGAAAGAAATTTCTTTATAAACCCTGATGCCTTCCTTTTCTCAGCGTAGTCTCAACATTTGTGAAAAATCCTTGAAGATTCAAGGATCAAACAGACATTATGAGTGATGCAATTCAATACAGAAATATGTTTTTAACATATCTGGGTAATTTTATACTTATGAATATATATACAAACAAAAATAGCAAAGATTTTACAGGTTATGGTGGGTTATCAAACTGAAACTGAAAAGAGTAAAATTAATGCTATTAATAAAAGAAATACCATACAAAGGGAAATATTTCTGGTTCTGAATATATAGAGATTAAGTTCTATGCCATTTTAAGAAGTCCTAAGATTTTAGACCTGACTAGGAATTTTTTCAGTTTAAAAGAACATGGGAGAATTTTGGTCCAAGGTTTTAGATAGGGTCCCTGAAATTGATATTAACTACTACAATATTTTGTAGTATTTTATGTGTTGAATTTTAAGGGATTGACAAAGTATTGCTTTTGTATTATCGCTTTTTTTTTTTTTTTTTTAAGGGAATGATCTTCTTCTAACCTTGCAAAAGGAATACTAGATTATTTAATTTGGATTTTGTTTTGTTTTTACAGGGACGCCGGGACAGTATACTTGGGAATACAATGCAAACCGTAATCGCCTTACTGAATAATATCGTTGCTAGCAAAAGTACGAACATGATGTTACTCTTCAAAGAAGGTATCTCATCCTTATCTTTATTCCCCTTACTGTAGATATTTCCTATTCTGTAATATCTAGCACTGTATGAAACGGGATTTGAATGTATTGTAGAATTTATGGTGGTTGTTACATAATCACATTGTAACTGAAGTACTCCTCATCACTTCCTCTTCCTCCCTTACTGATTTGATGATGCATTTAACTTTTAGAAAAGTGTTCTTCCAAGAAAATATGGTTACAAAAGAATTACTGACTGAAAGTTACATTATATCTGTGAAGAATGGCTTCAGAAAGGTGTGGACTAGTGATCTGACCATAACAGTGCATAGAGAGAGACCCTCTGCAAGTTCTTCATTTTCTCACTGTTCAAACCTGTGAAAGGATAAGTTGTACAATATATCTGCACAGTTTAAAGAAATAGTTCCAGTCCATTGATGTGGACCAGTGGGGTGGAGCCCAAACTGACTACAAAGTCTTAGTCTACAAACCACTGAAAGTCTTCATGAAATGTTTACCACTGAGTTTGGTGGTAAAATGCTGACAAGGATTGCCCAGAGAGGTGGTAGATGTCCCATCCTTGGGAACATTAAAGGTCGGCTTGGATGGGGATCTGATCTAGTTGAAGATGTCTCTGCTTGCTGAAGTGAGGATGGACTTAACTGACATAGATGACCTTTAAAGGTCCCTTCCAATCCAAACTATTCTATGATTCATTTCACTATGTTTCATTGTCTAAGCTCTTTTTATTTAGAAATTGTTTCTGATTTACAAAATGAAGAGAAAATTTCTGCTGTTAGAAATCTGTATAAATTTAAAAACTTGTTTAGAGACATACACAATGATAGAATGTCTTTTGTTTATCATGGAGGGTGAGTGACATCCAGCAATACAGATCTATGCTACCATTTGTACTATTTGTTGGTACACACACCATCCTAAAAATCCATCAAGATTGGTGGTAATAGTCATGTCTCATTTTCATAATTACCTTAGCAGTTAAAGCACTCACCCAGAAAGTGGAAGAGCTGAATTTCTGATCCTTTTTACTCTTAAACAACTGAATGGACAATGCAATTATTCAGGAGATGAACTGGAACTTGATATTGTAGCTAATAACATGCTCCTCTCCTCTGTTTCAAACAGAACCACTCAGAAGTTAGTGGTTGAGAATGGAGCCAGAATAAAAAGAAAGATAGAAAAATATGACTAATTTGGAGAGAGATGGTTCATAGGATTCTGATTCTTTGGTTATTTCTCACCAAACTGCCTATCACATTTAGAACTTTTCAGGGTTTCTTGGGGTTTAGATATATGTGGTGCTTTTGCTGTCTTTGGGCATATCTGCCCTGTGTCAGGCATAATCCTAAGTTAGCACTGAGTTGCAGGAGGGTAACTTGCTAAAACTGCACAATGACACGCAAAGAAGTCAGTTCAAGTCCCCCAAGCACTGTAAGCATGTAATTGCATGCCTTACTCAAAGTAATGTGCTCTACCTTTCTGCATGGCAAATTAGATGCAAAACTATTTAACAGCGGGGCAGAACTGCATCTCTTCCCTAAATATCTTCTCCTTATTGTCTCACACAGCAAACTCCCACGTCCTTTTTATTCTGCTGGTAGTATATCTGTATTCTTTCACTTCTCCTCTGCTCCAAAAATAAAACACATCTCTTTGGTCTTGTTAGTTTCCAAATGAAGGAAGTGGGATAGAAATATTATTAAAGTCCCTTATCTTTTTCTTCTGCTATATCATAGTGACTCCAGTAATGTTTTCAGACACTAACTTGTGCTCACTGAACTGCTGTAACCACACTAGAAAAAGCAACATAGCATCCAAAAATATTTTATCTCAAATAAAATGTCCCCATACCTTTTCCCTCCTTGCTAATATTCAGAGTACTGGAAAACTGGATTTTAGACAGTGTTTTGTTGATTAAGGGCCTAATTGTCAAGTAAAAAACTTCTAAAATTTGGGTTGCAAGAATGTTATGAGAGTATTGATCTTGTAATTGTAGATGTTAGATTTTTCTTTTAATTAAAAGGGAGAGAAACTATGCCATGCAAACTGAAGGGCCTTATATTATTTGTATTATCAACTGTGAGTATATAGTGTTCACATTAGGAAAACACCTTAAACTTCCTCTGCCATACCTTTGATGTTCAACTTGTCATATTTCAATGACTTTTGTGTGATGGAGAAGAACATGATCTAGTGAAATGGCAGCTGAGCTCCCTGTTCCAGAAAAATATCCTGGAGTTCAAATAGAAAAGCTGAACGTGAGTCAGCAGTGTGCATTTGCAGCAATAAAGGCAAAAAAGAGATGTGATAAGAGAGCATAACTGGAAGACTGAGGAAAGTGATTATTCTCCTTCATTCGTTGCAGTGTCTAGTTTTGAGCTCCAACCTATAAGAAAGACATTGAGAGAGAGGAACAAGTCCAGCTAGAGAAGAGCAACCAAGATGTTTAGGAAAGTGACCCATGTGATATGTGTATTTTCAGCCTCTGCTGAAAACTATTACTTCTTCCCAAGTGCAGAACTGTGTATTTGCCTTTGTTAAACTTTAAAAGGTTTCTGGCAACCCATTTTTTGAGCTCTTCAGCTTCTTGAGCTCTTTCTAAATGTTAGGTCAACCCTTCATCACACCAACTGCTTTCTTCATTTCAATGTCATCTGCAAACTTGCTGAACATGCATGTTATTACATCCTATTCACACTCTGTGCCTTTGCTGTTAATGAAGGCATTCAACATTCATGAGCTGTTCTGCTGTGTTAAAGAAAAAAAGGCTGAAGACAGAGTATTATGGGTCATCAATTTCCCTTATTTCCCCATTACAGTGTGATAATTAATTCATATTTATATGGAGCTTTAGAAATTAAAAACCCTAAATACTTGCTGAATATTATAAGAAACTCAGGTTAGGTGGTCAGTTCTATCAAAATTTTGTTTCTAAGAGTCAAGACATTAGCAATGAAGATTTCTTTCCAATTTTGTACAAACCTTTCTTCAGCTGCCAAGAAGCTGTATTTTTGCAGACAGATCATTTAGAGACCCTTGTCACTGTTTCCTTTTGTGCCTGTTAGCCTTCAGAACTCTCTTTTGCTCAAAAGAGTTGTATTAGGTGATAGATTTTTTTTTTTAAAGGGCTCAAGCTTACATGTTGAACTTTCCCCTTTCTCAAGAAAATCTTGTGTGATGGCACTCGCTGCATTAGCACTGCTGTGATTTCCTATTAATAACAATGATATGCTTGTGCATTTCAGCAACTTGCAGAGAAGGTGGATTGCCTAGCATTAATTTCTCTCTCCCGTGAACTGTGTCCTTTTGTGTGACAGTACATCAGACATGTACTGATAACCACTTGTAATATTTGAAGGTGAAATGGAGAATAACATATGCAACTGAAGTCACAGAGAGAATTTAAAATGACCTGTACTTGTGTTATCAGCTATTAAACATTTGTTCTGTTAATGTTAATGACAATTTCCACTTAATAATCAGAGGGGAATAATATGATTCAGTTTAATTACTGAGTCTGAAATTCAGTCAGGAGACTAAGATTAATACAGGGTCTCTTGTGAATAGTTAAGGTAAGATATTAAAAAGCCATGACAGTAGTTGTCATTTTTAGCATGGTCTTCTAAGAGAGTGACACTTACCCTCTGTCCCTCTGTCTTGACTTCTGGCTGCCAGTCTCTTTTTTACCTCCCTTTCCCCATCTTTTGATATCACTGGACATTTTAAGCCAACTTGAGAGACCACAGAGGTCCAAATATACAAAGTATGTATTCAATCTGTAATGATCAGTATCTGGTGAGAGAGACCTAAGTTAATGCCATAGCTTAGGAAAAGGCAGTAGTCTTATCAGTTAAATATTCTTCAATAATGTACAGCAAATAGAATAGTGTTATTTATGGCATGCACAAAATATATACATTTACAGAAAGAAAGGAATTTTAATACCTAAAATTTCCAAATTGCAAATTTTAAAAACCCAAAGTTTGCAACCTATGATCTTGGACCTATGGAAATTATGTTGCAAGAAACCAAAAGATGTCACTTTATCTTCAATTGGGAACTAGAGAATGTAAATGTGGGAAGAACATCATTCTTGAACAGTTTTTCTTCTTTTATCATAAAGTTTTGCCATGATCAAAGTGGAACCAACTGGTCTGAGCTTTTATCCTGTATTATAGTAGTTCTTACTGTTGGAGGTGCAATCTTCTGATCCCTGAATTCTATTTCTATTAGCATTTATTAAATTATAAAGCATAAAACTTATATAATAACCTGAGATCTGTTGATAAGCCTCTAAAGATCTATTAATTAATACATCTCCCTGGTCTTTTCAGTATTCACTTCCTTTTTTTTTTTTTTTTAGCATATTTTCAATCTTATGTTTTAGGTTTGTAACCCCTGAGTTTAATGGTGTGTTGGTCAATGCCTGAGGAGGGTACCTATGAAATGATCCCATAGGATCGGTCAGTGCATGGAAGCAACTTGCACTGTAGAACATGCGTATAGTTGGGTGACATAAGACAAAGCAGCACCAAGGTTTCAGAAATAAGGGCAGGGAGTTGTTCCAGAAATAGTGACAAGGATGACAACTTATTATCATGGGGATAGGCAGAGATACAGAGTGCAGATCTGTAGGAAAGCGGGTATTATTAGTTCTACTGGTCCAGAAACAGCCAGCTATATAGTACTTCGTGCTTGTCATATTAAAAGCATTAACATTTGTTTACTCTAAAGTGAAAAACCTATTCTAGATGCTAGAATCGTCAGCTCTCAGCAGGTGTTGTAGGAGTACAGTGGATGATCATCTGTTTCTATAGACAGGTGCGAGATCAGTCTGCTGAAAAGATATATTGTCTATCTTAGCTACGTGTCTATTGACAGGTGTTGACATTCTGAAAAATTTAGACATAAGATGAATGACAAAGTCAGGTTTGGCTGCTTGATAAGTAAGTGGTGCTAGTCTTAAGGACTGCTTCCTTATGTGGAATGTGATGAGTAAT